TGAATGCAAACTGATTGGGCATGAATGCAAACTGATTGGGCATGAATGCAAACTTATTGGGCATGAATGCAAACTGATTGGGCATGAATGCAAACTGATTGGGCATGAATGCAAACTGATTGGGCATCAATGCAAACTGATTGGGCATCAAGGCAAACTGATTGGGCATCAAGGCAAACTGATTGGGCATCAAGCCTTTGATGCATCTGTGAAGTTCCAACAACATACCTGCATTAAAAGAACTCCAAGCAATTGTGATGCTGTTTTATGACCTATATCATTGCCAGATAAAAGCCTAATAGATTCAATATACAGACATAATGTACGAGACACACCATCTGTTGTTGTACATGGTGAACCAAGTAGAATGGCCCTTAGTAAAGTCACTGGATCTCCCTTTCCTCTCATAATATATGATGTATATGTGTCTTTTAACTAGAATATAAACATGAAAAAGTAATGGTACACAGAATTAAACAAATATCATTTTGTATTAATTGATTAACACAGATCACAGACAGACAGCATGTTATTCAATTACTATCAAGTGAATGAAGCTGTAAGTTGTGTATCAAAACTTGGTGCATTAACATTTCAACAATTTTCCACAATCACAAGAATACCATAAGCATTACAGTGATCACATCCACAGTTGTGTAGCAGAGGTTGATGTGATCCTGTACTATCTGGATGCATAATTTGTGTTATTTTAATGATAATAGCAGTCTTCAGTAACATGATTCTATTTACACTATGTGTTTGTCGCATTGTGTGTCGAATAGACAAAATATGTCAAATCAGCATCTTTGCTCATTTTGAAAGGAAGGAAGATAAAAGGAAGATAATCATAACATGTTTGAATGTTGGTCTATTACTTTAAAACATACCGGTATTCAAGCAGGTTTTTAGGGATGGCTGAATTCTACTGTTTTCACTGCTAGGTACATGTATACCGATATATCATATTTTCTCTATTAGTAGCATATGTGCTATACGTAAAATACAAAGTAAATTGAGTAATATTTCATTGATTTAGTATACAGCAAATGGAATGTTTTGTTTATATGCACTTCTATAGGAGATGTGCTTCTAATAGAGCAAATATGGTATTTACATTCAAACACTGAGTCTCAACTGCCTACTCATCGGAAAGGAAATCTATAAAAGTTCAAACCATCATAGTACAATGATACATTGCTAGCATGAATACATTGTTATCATATACTGTAAAACCACTTATTTTCACTGACATTTAATTTTACTATTTTGACGTTTAGAGAATAGTCACTGTGTTTTAATTTCACTTATTAATAAGTAAACATTTAGTTTTATTGTTATCTTACATGTTCGCGTAGATTTAATTTAGCAGATTTTACTTATCAGCAAAAATAGTGAAATTAAAACCCAGTGAATAATTAGCGCATTTACAATACATAGTATTCCCCGGCCTTGTAACGCTATTGAAGTTGCGCCCTCACATCTGGGCAATAATTACCCATATCATGCAGGCCCAGCATGGCCGCTTTTTATCAATCTAAACAAAACATGTCATTTTACAATACGCAGTGTTTAAGGTCATCTGAGGCATATGATAAAACCTTTATGGACAGGATACATACGACTTTAGCGGCCCTTCGTCGTAGGCTAACACACTCTTGCATCTGCCACACTAGATCATGGAGGTAAAAAAAGAAGGAGCACTGACGGAAAATAAGCCTATTCAATTGTTTATTGCTAAGTTAAGCCCCTTATCTTGGTCTTTGAACTCGATGATAGTTGGAGATTGTTTAAACTAGTGTACTGACGGTAATATTCAGATTACACAGAAACAATTTTCCGATGAAATATTAAATCAGTTGCGCAGACCATAAATGAGGTCGTTACTCATGTGCAGTGACCTTTCTTGAAAACAAGAGGTCACCATTCACACTACACAGCGGAAACTAGACACTTGGACATTTAATCCCGTTTTTAGTTGAAGATTGACTATATTTTATGCTCTCTGATGAGTCAGCTTTTGAAACACTTTATTTATATGATCCATAGAATTCCGCAAAAATATTTAACTTTTTATAGAATCTTTGCATCCTCAGCTTTTGAAAACGACTGTCAAATCTGGCGAGCGGTTGTCGAAAATATCCAGTTCATTCCCAACTACGGCCAATTTTGCCCATTCTTCCGCAGGAAAATCTATATCGGGAATTTTGATAGGAACTCGTGTTACGCCCGAAGCCATGTTTGTTTCTCTGGTTCTGCACATGCGCAGTTCATTCAGATGATTGTTGAAGTTTGTCGAAAGACTCTGAACCACGTAATCCCCATTAAGGGATTAAACAGATAACAGGAAAACGGACAGCACATTGTTTGCTTGGCAAACAATCGCCAACTATCTTAGTACACAAAGGAAACAATAGGCGTCAGTGCTCCTTCTTTTTTTACCTCCATGACTAGATCAGGCGGCAAAAGTGATATCCAGTACATAAAGATTGATATCATACACATCCAATACTCACTTGGTCATTAGTGATGCTCTTCAAAACCACATCAATCATATCTCCTTTGTTATCTTCAGCCAACTTAACAATTCTTTCACAATCCATGATGATCTAAAAGTTTGATTTTGATATGAAAGTAACTTTTTTGAACATTTTGGTGAAAAATCCTTATATTTCTTTCTATAATTTCTTTTAAATATAAGGCATTATTTCTCAAAACATTACAGACAAAAATGTGGAAAAAAATGATATTTATCTCCTTTTACCACTAATATCATGCAGCCACCAGTGTCCTCCGTATTCGGTCAGCGGTAGAACTCGGCCACTTCACACTTATAAAGCGATTACAACTGGCCGAGTTGGACTATTTTTATATGGCTGAGTTTGACTGTAAGCAGCCCACCTATTCCATTTCATGAAAATTATTGTTACACATTATTTGGTGTGCACCTTGTAATCAGACAGATGCATCACCAACATGCAGCATTAAAATCACTCATATTTTATGTAAGTCAAGACCTGTCCACCTGTCCCATACAGGAAGATTTTAGCTGGGATAGGTAAATGTACAAATTGTCTGTCCCTGTGGACATGTGAATAATAAAATCAAGTTTTTACTAACTAACCATTACCAAGTGGGGGTAGTTCAAGGTTTGCTAATGTGCAGAAAATTGCTTTCTGAGTTCAGCAATAGCTGTCTCAACTTATTTTTGGTTTATTACGCATTTTATTATTTACTTTGGGTTTATTTAACTTGCTGAGTATCTAGTGTTGTGCACTATGTATAGCCACGTTCTTATTGAACAGCGATAACAATAAATAAATTTGCTAAGCTCTTTACGTCATGGCTATTCAGTGTTTGTGTAACTTATGAAAAAAAATCAAAATCACACTGCCAACTGTACGAATACAGTATCAAACATTAACAAATAGTGGAAAATTAAAATTTGTATTAATTAGTAGTATTAGGATTGAAATAAGCGATGCATTTACATATCAAATAGCTCATACATAATTCAGTACATTGGAGATTACATTGGACAGGTTTCAATAACTATTTTTGCATGTAAAATTGATTTTGAGACAGTTATCGCCTCTTTAAATAATATTGTAATTTATCATGCTAGGGTCAGGTAAAGGTAGGCACATTTAAAACAAAAATCATCAAAGTAAGTGTGAGAAAAAAATAATTTTTGAAAAGTGTTTTATTATTTACTTATTTACTACTCTATTTAAAGTTGATTGGTCACCCACCTAAAATGAAAAACAAAATTACCTCAACACCCCCAATATTAGAAATGGTTCACCCTTTTCTTTTCTCCAATGCACATTCATGGAAAGATTGCTCGTGAGACACTGGTTCCTGGAGACGACTGAATGAACAACGGGAGTTATGTACTATTGTTTCGGTTAATAATATACAGATTGCTCCGAATCTACTATCACTACCGGTAGTTCTGTTGTTTTTATCCCCAATCGTCCGGTCGATCATGAAAATCGGGATGTCCTGCACGCAATTGAAGTGAAATGTAACAGACCAGTATTCATTTTATACTCACCTCAACTTCAACTCAAACTGTTTTCGGAATGTAACACCCAAATAGCAAAATACGCTGCAAGGATGAGTTTGATCACAGTTTAAGGACTGCGGTTTAAATATAATAACAAATCGTATCCGAAAATGGCGCCAAAGACTGGTCCATTTGGGATGGGGTGGTTTGTGGGTGATAATGGAATCGTTTACAGAATTATTAAACATTGACAATCCGATTTATATTAATGAGCATGATTAGGATTATGTAATTACTAGTATTATAATGTTCAAATGAACAGGTTAAGTCTGAGTGTGAAAATATGTTGCCCCTAGTCTGGTTCGTATACATGCTTATACAATAGTTTCACCCATAACTCTTGCGTCAATCAGCTGAGTTTGCGCAGTCACAGGATTTCCGCAAAATGGACGACTTGAGCTCGGGGATACCTGATCAAGATTGCCAATGACACGGTTTTAACGAGAGTTTCTTGTACTTTCCTAGAAATCGGTTATCATTTACTAGTATATATAGATATATATTCGTTTGTCATTGCTGCTTTTTTTTCATACATTGACTGATACATTGTGAAACATATGCACATGGTTGCGTCATCTTGGATGTTCTGTGCAAGAGACATGTAACACGGTGTACCATGTTCAGTCGCCTTACAAGGGTAACTCTGAGAAGCAGGTCCGTGTTTCAACGAATCCGTCAGATGACTAAAAGGAGTTTCGCGTCATCCAGTCTGAATATGGCGGAGTGTGACGACACGTACGAGGAAGCAAAGAAACCGAAATTTGACAACCATCAATTCCGTGCGTTATTTACACCGCAAATGAACAAACTTGCTGATATATTTAAACGATATAACTATGAACTACGGATTGCTGGTGGCGCTGTTAGAGATCTACTTGGACATGTAAGTTCGTACTAGTAGCGGTCCAAGTCCGACCACAGTGCAAGTTCTAGTGGTCCAAGTCGAACCACAGTGCAAGTTCTAGTGGTCCAAGTCGGACCACAGTGCAAGTTCTAGTGATTCTAGTCCGACCTCAGCGATGGGCCGCATTGACTGACGTCAATGTAAAACTTGTAATGCAGGACTATTTTACAGAATTTCCCCTGGGATTTAATTTCACTCATTTGGTATTTTGAAATGTTTTGACTTATCAGCAAAAAATAATAGAAACTGGTAAACATAAAACTGGTGTACTAAAGCGTTACCTAGATTTTTTGGAAAGAGTTCCTTAAAGTTCCTTCACCCCTAACCAGAACCCTAACCCTAACAATCCAGCCCCCCAAAGTAATACACATGTGCCTTTAAATAACGATACTGGTAAGTGATCTGAAGAGGGGTATATACAATTGAAATGGGGGAGAAGTACTGGAGGGGCATGGTTCGAAAAGATGTATAGGATGACATGGAACTCCACACTCTACACAGTGGCCATTACAGTCAGTGTACTAGCTGTTTTTACACATACATTAAATGTGTCAATATCGTTATTAGTTTTAATTTTGATTTGTCTGATGTGACACTGCAAAATATGTGATACCCAGGAAATAATGCTAAATGAAAAACCACAAAATAAAACATTAATTGTGTGAATTTATTGTTTCTAGATCATGCCACAGGATGTTGATCTAGCAACGACGGCAACACCTGAAGAAATGAAAGTTATGTTTGAAAAAGAAGGTGTTAGAATGTTAAATACAAAAGGAGAAAAACATGGGACAATAACTGCCAGAATTAATGATAAAGAGAACTTTGAAGTGACAACATTGCGAATCGATAAAGTGACTGATGGCAGACATGCAGAGGTAGAGTTTACAAAAGATTGGGAACTAGATGCTGAGAGAAGAGACTTGACAATCAATTCAATGTTTTTAGGTAACTTTTTCTTGACAATACTGTAAATGTGGACAATATTATTTTTTTACTTCAATAAGCTGTAGTTCTGTATTCTTGGTTTCACAATATTTTTTAATCATAAATAGTGTTATTATCTATAAGGCCCCTGCACAAGCATGTACTTATCACTATATTTGGCTGAAACTGATTTGAACCGATAAATGTAATTTTATTGATCAATTCAGCCACAATAGTTTAGTAATGTTGTTGTGTTACTTTGCAGTATACCTTTTTACAGTTGATCAGTTCCAAAAACTAATTTATCTTGCATTATGTGATCGATGCTCTAAAACTCATTGAAAATAATGTGGCTTGCATAAGTAAGAATTTGAAAACCATAATTTTTCTGACCAAAATTGTTGTTTTTTTTTTTTCTTTTTTTTTTATTAAATTTTTTAGACCAAATGCATATAATTTCCTATTGATTACAAGTCTTGATCAATATTTTTGAAAAATTATGAAAAAAGTATGTGGGTTTAAAATTTGAGTTGACTTTGGCGCTCAAAGGTTGAATCAGCATGTACATCTTTGTTTATTGAGTAGCTGTCTAACCAGAGTGATTGATTTCAGGTTTGGATGGTACTTTATATGATTTCTTCGGTGGTCAACAAGATCTGGCAGAAAAGAAAGTTGAATTTGTTGGTAATGCGGTTTCAAGAATTCAGGAAGATTACCTTAGAATTCTTCGGTATTTCAGGTAATTTTTTTGTTTATTTTATTTTTACTTTTGTTAGTCCCTGTCTTATGGGGTCTTATGGATTGGTCTCTGCATGCATCCGTGCGTCTATGTGTGTGTCCGAACCTGTATCTTAGACATGCATGGACTGATTACATTCAAACTTCACACATACATAATATATATATGCACATCAATTTGTATCACAGTCTGATTCAAGATGGCTGAATGACGGCCATTTTTGTGCTGAAAAATCATTAAAATCAAGCATTTCTGGCATTCCCGAACCAGATCTCAGCTGTTTACAGATAGATTTTGTTCAAACTTGGTACATACATGTACATTGGACATTATAGTCACTTGATGCATGTCATTTTGATTTTTAGATCTGATTTAAAATGGTCGACTGGCAGTCATTTTGTTTTAGTGAATGCAGTTCTCTGACATGCTTTGAGTGATTATGTTCAAATTTTGTATATTTATTATACATCATGTCATAGATATACAGATGTATTGGTTCGATGATCTGATTCAAAATGGTCGAATGGTGGCCATTTTGTGCTAAAACATCATCAAAAAACCAAGCATTTCTGGCATTCCAGAACCAGATCTTGGTCTTTTATGGGTGAATTTCATTCAAACTTGGTACATACATTAGACATTATGGGTCCCTGATGCACTTCATTTTGTTTTTCAGTTCTTATTCAAAATAGCAGACTGGCGGCCATTTTGATTTAATTAATGCTGTTCCAGAGCAATATCTCTCAATATGAACAAGTACTCATTTGACGATCAGATACTAGATGACTGAATCAATGTCAGTCAATTTAATGTTAAAAATCATAATAAAGCATCAGCCTTTGGATCCATATCTCTGACATGTTTATATTCCAACTATATTACTATAAAAAAAACTATATTTCCTAAATTTGATAACTAACAGGGATGTGCCATGCATGGCTTGTTCATACTATTGAGGTAGATTTATACTACTTTATAAACCTAATGATGATCTGGGTTGTTATTAGTCTCTTTGAAATGAATGGCCGAATGGTGGCCATTTTGTGCTAAAAAATCATCAAAAAACCAAGCATTTCTGGCATTCCAGAACCTGATCTTGGTTTTTATGGATGAATGGATTTTGTTCAAACTTAATACATACATTAGAAGTTATGGGTCTATATATCTTAAATTTGATAACTAACAGGGACTGTGCGATGCATGGCTTGTTCATACTGTTGAGATAAATGTATACAACTGTATAAAGCTGCTGATGATTTAGATTTTTATTACCAGGTAGTTAGTCTCTTTGAAATGAATACATGTACACAAGTGTGACCTGATTAGAAGTGCACTAGCAAACAAACAAAAGATCTACTCTGGGCCTTAACTGTTAACAAACAACTTTTTAGCCCTGCTGTTATAAAAACAGTTGTTTATGTACGTGGCTGTCTATCATATTGAGGAAATTGCTCACATGCAGATTATTTATTATAATTGCGGCTTTGTTTGTTTTTGGTCATTGTTGAAATTTGATTTCTTTCTTTCACTTCAATTAATTAAACATATTTTATGCATTATTTATAGATTTTATGGGAGAATAAGTGATAGTGATGATAATCATAATATCCACACATTGAAAGCTATTGAAGACAATGCTGCAGGACTGGCAGATATATCTGGTGAAAGAATATGGATGGAACTGAAAAAGATTTTAATTGGTCGTCTTGCACCAAGCACATTAAGATGCATGTATCAACTTAGACTGCCACAATACATTGGTTAGTACCAAGACTGATACCTGATTTAAATAAACGTGTCACCCTAGATACCTGATTTAAGGTAGCGGGACTATTATTTGCATACTTGTTTTCATCTTCTAATTGTGACTAAATGACTACAAATAGACCCGGGAAAGTATATATTTTTAGAATCGCCAGATTTCAAGCTTTTCACAAGTGTATTTTGCATGCCGGTATCTGCATTCTACGACGCGTTACTCAATCAAAGGTGAAAATTTACTTTTTCTGTAAAAAAAATAATTACGCATTTATGCTGGCGATAAGAAGTA